CAAGCCATGGAAGAGCAAGTTGGAGTTTGGGAGCAGGAGCCCAAACCAGGAATCAGGGCCTTGCGCTGGGCTTTGGGGCCTGGGTCTGCACAGTTCATGCGGTTGGCGCCCCATGCCCCCCTCTGCCACACCAGAGTCCATGCAGCCTGGCCAGTCCCTGCCACCTCCAGGAGACCTGGCCTGGCTGACTCACCACCCTTTCTCTCCACCTCCGCCTCCTCCCTGGGCAGGTTGGGGGCTCCACCCAAGAGGTAAAACCCACATGATGAGCCTTGCCTCCGCTGCACTTGGCGGGCTTTGGGAGGATTAGTCAGGTTGGGTTTGCAAAGTGCTCACACCCTGGGAAGAAAGGCGCCGGGCAGCAGAGAGCAGCTGCCACAGAAAGCACTGAGACTTTGGGGCCAGGGTTTCAGGGAGGCAAGTGATGGCCCCGGGCTAAACATTCATGAGCTCAGTGACTCTTTTCCAGTTCACCAGCAGAGTAGGCAGTTGCTATCCCCATTTTATGGATGAGGAAGCTGAAGCTCAGAGTGGCTAAGGGATCTGCCAAAGACCACACCGCACGTGCCCTGCAGAGCCGGGTTGGAGCTGGGTCTGTTTTGTTCTGAAGCCTGTGTTTGTGCCCATTCTTTCCTGCCCCTCCACGGACTGCACTGCACAGCCCCTTGTGGGGTTCTTCCTGCGTGTCTCTAGGGCTCCCCAGGGCTGAATCAAAGCAAACCCCTGGGGGCAGGGGCTTATTCTTAGATGGAAGGTGGGCAGCCCCGTGTGAGGCCAACAGTGTGGCCCATTCCCGGCCATAAACATCTGTGTCTGCTTCCCCTGCCACCCCTCCTTTCCCAGACCCCCCAGTCTCTCTGTAGGAGGAACCAGGGCGGGCAGCGGGACTGCCTACTGAGTGCGCAGTGGTTCCATGGCTCCCTGGAGTCGGGGTGGAGGCTGGGAAGTCAGTCCCCGCAGGCCTCTGACCCAACCATCGTCTTCTGTCCAGTCCACCCTAATGGCACTTGGCATATGCCAGACTCCATGCCGAGCACCAGGGAGACAGTAAAATGTGGCTTCTGCCCTCCAAGGCCCTTGGTCCCCCTCTGAGGGTGGAGACAGAACCTCAGCCCAAGTGGTCAGTTCTGGAAGGAGAGGAGCCACTGGCCTGTGTGACCCAGAGAGGCAGGCAGGCCTGACGTCAGCACTGTTAGCGAGGCCCAGGCCAGCTTGGCCCTCAGACTCATGCCTTAAAGCTCACTTCGAGGCCCTGTGTGGGGCCAGGTCTGGAGCAGAGGGAGTAGGGACAGGAGGAGCAAGTACAGACTAAAAAGACCCCTCCTGGCCACCTAGGGACCTAGGCTGTGTCAGGCACATCCCAGGAACGAGTAATCTGATTCATTAAACCCACAGGCAGGGCAGGAGTCCAAAGGGGAAACCACGAAATCTAAGATTGGTCACAGGGCCAGGGGTCCCTGAACTGGTCACAGACTTGGTGGAAGTCGAGTTGTTGGTAACAGGCACTAAAAAGTGCCAGGAACCGGTCACCAGGATGGAGGACGACAGAGAAACCGAGTTCTATTTTGGACATGTTGAGTCAGAGGTAGCTGGAGTCCAGTCAGGAGGTGTCCAGGGACAGCTGGCCAGACCTCTGAAGCTCAGGAGGGATGTCTGGGCCGAAGGTCACCTGGCTTAGGTTATTTTTCTCAACAGCTTGCATGAAGATGTGAGCATCGTCAATTATGTAGGCAAGACAGAGAAAGGAGAATGACTTAACACCTTGGTAGACTGAGGACTCAGGGTGCCTCCAGCAGGCTGCCCCTATGGCCCAAGCCCGGCAAGCTGATGTTTGCCCAAGGCGATGAGCCCTCCTTGGGGGTTACATGAGTACAGGGTGGGGAAGGCCTGACGTGGCCTCAGCTCCTGCAGAGACGACCTGGGTGTCCACGCTGGCTACAGGCTCCACCTGAGTCGGCAGAGGAGGGCGTTTCTGAACACGCTTGGAGGATGTGAGGGTACATTAGGGCAGTGTGATCACAGCAGATCTCGGGCCGTGTGCACGGTCTATTCAGTAGTCACGGCCTTGCATCACAGGGACAGGGAGATCACCGGTGTGAAGTGTCGACCCCTCAGTCTGCAGCTTTCAGAGTAAACACTAGTCCCTCTCCCCTCCCCCCTCCTTCCCTCCCTCTCTTCTTTGTCTTCCTCCTCCTCCCATTCTGGTCACAGCTGGATCCCATAATGAAGCCTTCAGTGTGGAAAGGCTGGGAAACCAGAGAGGGGTAGAGAACGCACAGGGGCTTTCTAAGAAGAGACTTCCCAGGAGGGACATGAGGGGCTTTTTAGGCGGTGGAAGGGCTGTCATATAGACCGTGAGTAGAAATGGGCTTGTCCTTGGTACCTATGTGGAAGGCAGGACCAGGATGTGCAAGCCTCACACATAGTAGGCACTTCTTATTAAATGCTAATGGGCTCTTTGACTAGGAGTGGATGTCCTGGGAAGGCCCTGAATGTGCTCCCAGCAGGCAGGGACTCCTGGGCTCAAAACCTGGCAGAGAGTGGGCTCACTGTGACTGCTGAGCACAGATGAGTGAGAAGCTGCCCAGGAGCTGCTCCACAGAGGCAGGTGCGCTTATCCTAGAGGTTTGGGGGCTGTAGAGGAGAGAGCCCTCACAGGCTGGCTTCAGGGGAATTCCTGCGCTGGGGACTGGCCAAGATGCCTCGGGCCTCTTCCCACTCTGCTGTGACTCTGTAACCTCTTAGAATTTCAGAACCATCTGCCTGGCCTCCTCACAATCTGAAAGAGCCTTGCCAGTGCCCTCAGGGTACAGATGAAGAAACTGAGGCCCAGAGAGGAGATGGGACCTGCTCGAGCCCCCATGGCAGGCCAGTGGCAGCACCAGGAAAAGAACTCAGCATCTGGGATTTTCTCATTCACCCGGGCCTCCTCCTGCACGTGGCTCTTGGGTTAAAGTTTCACTGGTCTGTGGATACTTTAGCTGAGCTCATTGTCCAGCTCACATCACAGGGCCCTCTGGAGTCCCTGCGTTGTGGTCTCAGGATAAAACCAAGAGTGACCCGATCCCCCAGCCTGGCCCACAGGGCCTGGGGGGACCTGAGCCTCCAGCCTGCAGGGACCAGCCACCCCTGGCTTCCCAGGGCAGCAGCCAGCCTAGACAGCATTGGCAGTACACACAGCGTACGGATGCCCGGCTGCAGAGGAGAGTCTAGCTGGCTGATGAGCAGGGTCTGGAGCCAGTCCGGGGCCCTCCCTCAGCCCCAGCATTAGTGTAAAACACACCTCTGACCACAGGCATTTAAAGATCAAAAGAGGCCAAGAAAGCTTTTAAGAGCCAGGCCCCTCTGTGCTGCCTCCAGCCTCCCAGGGGAAGGGCAGATTGGCTTCTGCAGCTCACAGGTGAGCCTGGGAAGGGCCCTTAGAACGCAGTGCTGGTCTGCTGACCCCTTTCCTCAGAGAAGCTCCTAGGGGTGCAGACTCTGGCTGTAGGGGCAGCCCTGGAGCACCTCCACATTTCCCTGGGAGAGGGAGGATGCCCTGAGCCCTCCTGAGGGCTTTCTGGTGCCTGACCCCACCCTGGGAATCTGATGCTAGCTCATTTAATCTCCAGAGCAACTCTGGAGAAGAGGCATCATTCTCCCCATTTCACAGACCAGGAAACAAAGGCTAAGCGAGGGCCACTTAGCTAATATGTGGTAGAGCTGAGGTTTGCTACCCTTCCATGACCCCAGGACCCGGTGGGCTGAGGAAGCAACCCCAGGGCACAGTAGGACACTTTGCCACTCCCTCCCCCAGCCCCTCAGGCCTTCCTAATTATCACAGATCACTGTCCTGATGGGGTCTGCCACCCCTCCCGGGCATTGCAGTCTCTGCTCTTTCTGCCACAGCTTTGGGAATGGCCTCTCCCAGTCACACCTGACCAAGTTCAGACCTTCCTGTGGCTCCTCACTGCCTCGCTGTCCTTGGAAGAAGGTCCAGCTCATAGGACGGCTTTCGGGGTCTCCCAGCACCCAGCTTTCCTCCCAATCTCAGGCCACTCTGAAAGTCTCAGCTTTCCTCTCTCCCTCCCTCACCGATCCTCTCAGGAGGTGAACCAAGATTCCTTATTTACTTTTTTGGAGACAGGATCTCCCTCTGTCACCCAGGCTGGAGTGCAGTGGTGTGATGACAGCTCACTGCAGCTCAACCTCCCAGGGTCTAACAATCCTCCCACCTCAGCCCAGAGTAGTTGGGACTACAGGTGTGCACCACCATGTCCGACTAAAAGGAGTTTTTTTGTAGAGATGGGGTCTCCTTATGTTGCCCAGGCTGGTCAATATTTCTTTAAGACTTTGTTCCCATCCCTCTCGACATGGCTAGCTCTTCACTTCCCCTTCCCTTATTTGCTTAGCAATTATGTACTGAGCACCTACTATGTGCAGGAACAGTGCAGGTGGTGGGGATCCCCAGCACCCCACCTCCCCAGCTCCATTCCTGTGCTACAAGGAAGGCTGGAACCCTCAGATGGATGGAGCCACAGGGGCTGTCTGGATGCGAATCAGCCCTGTGGCTGGCCGTGTATTCCTACAAATGGGATTTCAAGGTTTCTCTGAGGGCAGCGTTTCCAGTGCCCTTGAGAAGCTCAGGCAATGAAGGCTCAGGCTATCCAGACAAGGAAAAGCCCTGAGGAATTATTTCCACATCCTTCATCTCAGAGATGGGGAAAGTGGGGACAAAGGGGAAGGGCTCTGTCCAGGTTAGTACAAAGGCAGATGCTTCGTTAGAACTTGGGTCCTCCAGCACCCAGTGCAGTCCAGCCCCTGGGGCAGGTGAGACAGGGGGTCCCCATGGAAAAATAGGAGGTGGCTCCCGTCACACACACCGAGGGCTTCTGTGAGACGGTTGCCTCCTCTCATGGGGGTGGGATGGGAGTATAAGGGGTGAAGAAAGAACTTGATGCAGTCTGTGCCTCTCGGACTGACAAGTGACCACTCATCCTTCTCTGTCCTCACCTCCATAGAAGCCACAGTGAAAGATGACATGAACAGCTACATCAGTCAGTATTACAATGGGCCCCGCACTGGTAAGTCTGGGTAGGGGGCTGTTTTGCATGTGCCAGAACCCCATGCTACATGTGACCCCAGCAAACCCTAAACCTGAGGGCAGAGACAATTCATGCCTGGCAGCCAGGTGCCATCTCCTGGTGCCCGTGAACCATAACTGCAGGCAGTGGTCAAGGTTAAAATACTGGAGCTTCAGCTTCCAGAAAACTCCGGCGCTGGAGCTGGGGATACCCAGGGGCCAGCCTGCAGGTGCCAGGATGGGGGTGTTCTGTGATCGCCCATAAGAACTGCATGTGGAACCCTGAAATGGGAAGGGGGGTGGAATCCAGAACTCCAAGTGACCTCAGTGCCCCCTACCTGCACACCTGTGAGGGTGGGCACGGTGGAGGATGATATGCCACAGCACTCCTGGGCGTGAGGAGCTGCAGGCCTCAGGCATATCCCTGCTGGATGTTTCATTCTTGCACTTGAAAAAAAACCTCAAGAAACCCCAGTGGTTTTTATTTATGGGAAAGATTGAATCTTAAAATATTGCTAAGGCATTTGGTGTCTCAGTTCTCCACAGCCCCCTTTCATTTCAGGGTTGCACATGCAGTTCTTGAGTTTGAATTTCACAGCCCCCAAAACCTTATTATCATGTTGGGCCACGTGAAGAATGCATTTGAATTTTTTGTTTTCCACAATTTAGTCCTCCTAAGGCCTCATCCCTGTCTTCTCTCCTCCCTCAAAGCCTCATCCAATATGCTGGTTTCAAAGACCACCGTCTCCAGCCCAGACCGCCCTCTCAGTCCTCAGCTTTGTGGAGGAATCTCCCCACCCTGCCTCCTCTGTAGGTCAGCCCCGGGTACATCTCGCCTAAAGTAAAGAGCTCTGCATGTCCTCTCTCTGACCCTACAATGCACGCTAAGCAGGCTCTGATCATCCTACCCGCCAGCCCATCTGAAACTTGAGTCCTTCCTCAGACCGTGGAACCCAAGTTCCCCGCCCCAGCACACCACGCTTCCCGAGTTAGGATGGGCTAGGTTAGGTTGCTGTGGCAAATAGCCCAGTGTGTCAGTGGTTTAAACAAAGCCACAAAAGCCCCACTGCAGGTTGGCTGGGGGCTCTGCTCCCAGGTCATCACCATCACTCCAGCACCCGGTTGGCAGAACAGTCACATCCATTCTAGAACATTGTTGGCTGCCAGGGCAAAGCACCAGTTCATAAAGCTTCTGCCCAGAAGTGCCACAGGTCAATTCTCATGGGTGACTGGCCAAAGTGTGTCACATGCCCACACTTGAGTTTAAGGAGATGAGGAGGCATAATCCCCCTCAAAGCAGGGTGTTGATGTTGGAGGAGGGAGTTCTATCAAGGCTTCCCTCCACAAAGGCATGGTCTCCTACAGGCTGTCCACACTCACCACCCACTGCCCGGCTCAGACCTGCCCTCTTCAGGGCCCCCAGATGTGCCAGAGGTTGAAGTGTGACCGAGATCCTCTCCTTCCTTGCAGACAGCGGTGTCCCAGAGCCAGCTGTGTACGTGGTCACCACGGCTGCAATAGACATCCACCAGCCCAACATCTCCTCGGACCTTTTCTCTCTGGACGTGCCCCTCAAGCTCGGCAGTAATGGCACTGGTGCCAGCGCCACCTCGGAGATTGCCTCCCGCAGCTCAGTCACCCGGGCCCAGAGTGACAGCAGCCAGACACTGGGCTCCTCCACAGACTGCAGCACTGCCCGAGAGGAACCATCCTCTGAGCCCAGCCCTGCTCCCCTGCCACTGCCGCTGCCACCCCAGCAGCAGGTGGAGGAGGCCACAGTCCAGGACCTGCTGTCCTCCCTGTCAGAGGACCCCTGCCCATCCCAGAGGGCCTTGGACCCAGCCCCCCTCGCCCGGCCCAGCCCACCGGGCTCGGCCCAAACCAGCCCCGAGCTGGAGCACAGGGTAAGTCTGTTCAACCAGAAGAACCAGGAGGGCTTCACCGTCTTTCAGATCAGGCCTGTCATCCACTTCCAGCCCACTACACCCGCGCTGGAGGACAAGTTCAGATCTTTGGAATCCAAAGAGCAAAAGTTGCACAGGGTCCCTGAGGCCTAGAGCCTGCAGTGGGCTGGGTGGGAGGAGGGGAGACAGCCATCTCGAAGCTCTCCTGGGACCCTGGAGGCTGCCACGGGCCACATGCGGGGCCCAGGAGCCCGCCTGGCCTCCCTCAGGGTGCTGCCTGCCTCCAAGGAGGTGATGCCAGGCCAGGAGGCCACAAGCTTCAGACCTCAAAGCCCAGAGCTGGCGCCTCTTCTCGCCCTGCTCAGGGGAGGGGAGGGTGGTGCTCGTGGCTGGGTTTTCTTTTTAACCATTTTTACAAAAACCAGCCTGTAGCCCAGCTTCATCAGGGTAGAGTGCGGGGGGCCAGCTCAGCCTCTTCCGTTGCCTTCGTTCCTGACGCCCACCCCCGGACCCTCGGGAACAGCACTGTGAGCAGGGGCTGTCCAGCCCCACCCTAAGCCGTCTCTCCCAGGAATCCTGGGTGGAGTCCCACACAATCACACGGAGACCACCATCTGAGCCTACTTCATTTGTCCTCATTCTCATTCCAGCATGAGTGTTTCTGAGTCTCTTCAAGACAAATCTAGTTTTCACCTTCACAGGATATAAAGGGATCAACCTAGAGGTGGGTGGGAGGGTTCTGGGAGGCAGGGGGGCAACCATTTTCCAACCTTGGCTTTAATAATAAAAACCAGCTGCACTGAGACTCCCAGTTGGTGGAGGCGTTCCTTTGGTTGCTAGCCTAGGCGAAGTGTCCAGAGTGGTTCAGCCAGGGCACCACCATCCACCCAGTTATGGATGTGTGTGGCATCACTGGCTCCCTCCTCGTCCCCTGCGAGCAGTCGTGAATCCTGGCCATTCCACCCTCCAAATTGCTAGCGCCTGGCCCCATCACGGGCTTGCTGAGGCCCAGGCCCCCTGCCGGACTGCACTGCAGCAGCCTTCTCTTGGCACAGCCTCTGGTTTCTCCCTCTCCACTGCATCTTCCAAGGCAGCTAAGCCTCAGCACCCCTGCTAAAAGCCCCCAAGGGGTCTTGTATGTATGACCATGTTTTCTTTTATATAGTTGGGGGGATGGTTAAGGAAGACAGTTTTGTAAAGGGTTCCCAATGCCTCAAGAGAATGAGTACGGCTCATAGCCTCTTCATGAGCTGGCTTGCTTACCCCTCTGGCTGTCCTCCTATGCCTCTGTCCAGCCTGTTCTCCCCTCTGCCTTGGTCTGGATTATCCTCACTGTGAGAGTGTCCTGCCTCCTTGCACTGCTGGGCTGGGTGTCTTTGGAACTTCTGTGTCCCCGTGGACTCACCTGACAGTGTACCACGCCCCTGGTTTGGTCAGCATCTGCTTCCCTGCCTGCCTCCCAGGCTGGTCCTCAAGAGCAATGAGCAGGCCTGAGCTTCATTAGAACCCCACAACTCTGCGCCAGCCCTGGGCATGGAGCCACTTGGGAAAGATGGCTGAATTGGAAGAAAAGGAAGGAAATTACCACATGCAAGCAAAGGGCACCCTCCTGATTCACGGGGAGATCAGCAGTTGTCAAAAAAGATGTTAAAGGTGGCAGCATCCAACTGAGCCCCTCTTGGGGTCTAATTAGAAGACCTACCAAGGGGAGGCTTTTGCAAAGGGCAAGAGTAGCTGTCCTGAGGCATCACAAACATCACTGTCATAGTGTCCATCACTGGGCACCCAGCCAGGGCCCCTACCCACATGGGCTCCTTTAATCCTTCCAGCGGCCCCATGAGGCATGTATCACTAACCCCATTTTACAGTTGAAGAATCTGAGGCTCGGAGAGGTTGAAGAAGCTTTCTTAGGTTGAACACTTAATGACAGGCCCAAAATCTGGGCCCCCAAAACTGGGGCCCAAATCTGCTGCCACCATGCTAGGCACTGGGGTTCCCCAGGTTGAGAGCTTTGGGAAGCAAGGCGGTCACTTGGCTTTTGCCACTCGAAGGGTGGGAGGGCATTACATGGTTTGCAGTCTGTAGGGCAGAAGCCAGTGGTAACCAGTAACTGGTGATCTCCACCCACTGGACTAGAAATGGCCGCCGCCCTCCTCCAGGCGCACCTTGCTGAGTTGTGAAGGGCCTTCTGCAGAGCTCCATCGTCCCAGCTCTTCGGCTAGTGCTGTCACCTCACGGGCACTTGAGCCTGGCCCCATGCCAGCAGGAACCGGTCTTTAACTTCTGACTTAAGGTGATCCGCCCGCCTTAGCCTCCCAAAGTGCTGGGATTACAGGCGTGAGCCACCGTGCCCAGCCTTTTTTTTTTTTTTTTGAGACAGGGTCTTGCTGTTGCCCAGGCTACAGAGCAGTGGCGCAATCATGGCTCATGCGTCCTTGACCTCCCAGGCTCAAATGATTTCCCACCTCAGCCTCCCAAGTAGCTGAGACTACAGGTGCACATCACTATCCCCAGCTAAATTTTTTTTGTGTCTTTTGTAGAGATGGGGTCTTGCCAAGTTGCCTAGGCTGGTCTGGAACTCCTGGGCTCAAGTGATCTGCCCACCTCAGCCTTCCAAAGTGTTGGGATTACAGACATGAGCCACTGGGCCTGGCCGGAACTCCATGTTTAAAAGCAGATTTCTTGGGGTATTTACAAGTTGCTCTGAGGTGAGACCCTGCTGGGCACTTGTTGCCGCCTTCGTGTTGTGTTGGAACTGCCTCACAAATACACAGAGGCTGGGAACAGAGATAATAGGTGGTCCCCAAGTCCAGAGCCCACAACAGTCACAGCCTAAGATGGCGCACACGGACGGAGGAAGCTACTTACCTGCCTGGGGACATCTGAAAGCCTCACAGTGAAGGAAGCATTTAAAGGCGATTTTAAGAGTAAGTATACCAGATCACCTCTTCTGTTTGTTGTGGGAGAGGACAGCAATTTTTAGGGGTAGTTTCAACACTGAGCTACAAAACTGGCCTACTTCTGGAGAATGTGAGCAGGGATTTTTGGATTGTCTCCCTGACTTGAAGTCAGTCGTTAAACCATTTTTTAAAAAAAGGAATGTCAGAAGGAGGGTGACGGGACAACAGTGCAAGCACAGGAACAGCAGTGAACTAGGCGAGGGAACAGGGTTGGCAACAGGGAGAAGTCTGGTGTCAGGAAGGGGATGGTGTGGTAGGAAGGGGAAGGGACCACAGGAAGGACAGGCGAGGCTGCTCACAGAGGCCTTGGATGCCAAGCCGAGCCAGATGTTCTCCCTAGAGATAAAGCACTACGGAAGGGTTCCCGCAGTCTTCTGGTAGGTGCAGAGGAGCAGCCGGAGGGAGAGGCTTGTGTCCAGAGGAGAGGGAACAAGGCTGCACACGGGCAGGCAGGATGAAGGCAGCAGGTGGTAGAGACACTGGGGAGACCTGACTGACGGGACTTGGTACCCCCTGGATGTGGACTTGGAGGAGCTGAGCATTTGAGGAGATGCCACCATGTCCACTCTACAGTGTCTAAGCATAAAACATCAGGGTGGCTGTGCCTGGCACCAAAAGCATAGAGGAGGACACCAGAGCCAGAAACATGGCAGTCCCTCCTGCAGACTCAAAAGCGCTTCCTCCAGGCGGTGGGTGGAGGCCTGGGGCATACCCCATCCCACAACAAGTCCTAGGGTGGGGCTTGGGGGCCTGGAGTGCAGGAGATGGAGGTAAAAGCTTCAGCTTTCATGGCTCCCCTGGGCACCGTATCCCAGAGTTATGGCTGGCGGGCAGCTGGGGGTTGGGGGAGATGGAGCCGAGCACTCCCTGGGAGGTTTGCAGCTCTGGGAAATGGCTCCCAGTTCTCCTCCACCCTTTTAGAGAACCCACTCTGGTGGCCCAGAGGAGCCATTGGGCTGTCCCTGAAGGGAAGGTCTGGTAACAGCCACTGTCTCCTGCTAAAAAAGGAGGGTGGTACAGTAATGACTCCCATGTCTGCATTGCCTGTTGTGACAGGTGCTCTTCACAGGCTTCCCTCCTTAGCGCGGCCCTGGAGGGTGGGCGCTACCTTCCCTGCTTTACAGAGGAGAAACGGCAGCCATGGAATGACTCATGCAGTGATTGCCCAAGGGCACACTGAACTAGTAAGCTGTCGTGGCAGGATTCAAACCTAGGTCTGTGTAGATCACATGCCATGCTAACTGTGAGATAAGCTGCCCGGAATCAAAGCAGGTGCCACCAGGAAAGCCAGGCCGGAGCCTGTAGCCCGGGCCTGAAGCCCACCCAGGATGGGGGAGCTATAAGGCCTTCCCTGAGTGGCACAATGGGCACCTCTCCACCCAGCCCTGGCAAAATTCCCAAAGTGTGGCTTTTCAGATCAAGTCCCAGAGACAAGGGTATTGGGAGGGAACCCTGTGTGGCTAGAGGCTAGTGGCCTGGAATTCTCTTTAGCGTGGTGGGCATCCACCTGAACCTCAACTCAGGAGCTCCTTTCTCCCTCCAAGACAGTTCTTGACGGAAGCCAGAGTGGAGAGGGCATGGCTCCCACCTTGGTGCTGGCGCCATGCTCCTCTCTGATGCTATTGGGTTACCCCTAAAAAGAGAAGACAGAGTTGGGGCCTCACTCTTGGTGCTGCTGACAAACTGAGCCCAAGGAATCTCTCTTACTGACAATCTGACAGCACCCTGTGGTCCCCTTAACACTTGCATGGAGTTGCTTCACAAGGACCCCCAACAAATCTGGGGGCTCGAACAGCCAAACCAAGGACATTTCAGGGCTGGAGAGAAGTCTGCTCATCCCCCTCCCACCCACCTCCTGCCTCAGGTGCTGCTGTACCCCATGCACAGGATGTGGCAGAGCCTGGATTCTCAGCCCAGCCCCGTTTCTGGTTTGCTCTGAGGCTCCAAGCAAATCCTTGGACCGGCTTCCTCCCCATGTGCAACAGGAATGATCCTGTGCCTCCCAGCCCGAGGGCTGCTGGGATAGCTAATGATGTAGTAGAAGGGAAAGCCCTCTGAGAATGTTTCAGGGGAGACACAAACAGAAAGCATCCTTATTAATGAGAAGTCTGGGGTGTTTTGCTGCCAGCACACACTCAGCACGTTTGGGGTCAGCTGCCCAGGAGATGCCCTTGCTGCTGCTGACAGTCTGGTGTGGGAGGGTGGCAGTGAGTCCTGCCCCCAGTCCCAACAGTCAGCCCAGCCACTGTTTGCTCCTCTCCTGAGTACATCCCTGTTCACACGTGCCCATTTGTTCCTCTGTAAACCACGCCTGTAGTCACTGAGTTAGCTAAGAGAGCACTGTTATCCCCCAGACAGGAGGCACCTTCTCTTTCCTCCTCTCCCTTTGGCAAGTACTACTGGAGTACCTGCCAAAAACTTGTATTTCCCTCACATTAACTAAGTGAGAAATTCATCACTATTCTGAATATCTTTGACTCCACTGCTGCAAAGTTTGGTATCCTCTCCTGGTGAAGAGTTAATTTAATTATCTAAGGAAAATGACGAAACATTTGCTGCTAAAATTTATTGCAAGCTACCAGGAGACAGTGCTGGCATAATTTTATGCACAGCCCCCGGCTGCAGCATAGGGAAGCAGGCTGCCTATTCATCCTGAAACAAGCAAATGAAATTGACTACCCTGGAGATCAATCAGGACATTAAACACTGTGATGGATGTGGCAGAATTCTTCAGTGTCTGAGATTTATAGGTCACCCTTCACCAAGCACTCTAGGAACCTCCCCAACATCAATTAGGCCTCATAACTAGTACGCTCACCTCTGCCTCCACTGATTAAAGAACGGG